CTCAGCTACAGCACCCGATCAACGTGACTCCAGACCTCGTCGTTCGGTAGCTCCTCCGGCAACGCACGGTCGGGGTCCGACGGGCCATTGTACTTCCACATCGGCCGCATCCTCTCCGCCAGCGGAGCGACCCGATGGCGGAAGAGGGTGTGGAACACCCGCACCCCATCAAGGCCACGTCGCACGAGCTTCTGGAGCTCCACCTCGATAATCTCCACCTTCTTCTGTCGGCTGGCGGGGCCCCACGACCAGCTCTCCTACCTCTCTGGCCTCCTGCAGGTGAAAGGTAGGAACGACGCCTGTGCTGGGTTCCTGATGTAGAACCATTCCCCGTGCCACCCCCGATTGGAATCACAGGGGATGTACACGGGGTACGAGCCCGACGCGCTCGGTTTCTTCTGTAGCACGAAACGCCCCACCGGCTCGATCATGTGCGGCTTCCCCTCCAACAAAGCTCGCCCGGAGAACATCCGCTAGAAGAAGTCCACGTGCGGCTCCATCCCAAGGAAAGCCTCGCACACAGTGATGAAGCCGGCGATATGCAGCACCCCAGTCGGATTGAGGTGCTGCAGCTCCAGGCCCCACTCATTGAGGAGCCCGCGTAGGAACCAGTGCGCATGGTATCCTAACCCGCGCTCATGAAAGGCGAGGAAGGAAACAACCTCGCCGGTCCAAGGTTGCGGGAAATCCTCCCCCTAGGAGCCCTCCAGTGCACCACCTCCTTCGGCGGTAGAAACCCCTTCTCGGCGAAGGCAGCCAGCACCGACTCCCTCATGACGGATGACCTCTAGCTCGACATTGCGCTCCAGGTTCGCGAATGGATTTATGAGTTTTCTCCTCTCCCTCGCTCTCCCCTTTTCTCTCCTAGGAACCGCCGCGGCACTCAAACGCTCTTGCCTAGAAGGAAGAAGAAGAAGAGACGACAAATGAGGAATATGCGAAGGAACAGAACAGAAGCCCTCACCCTTCCCCTACTTAAAGAAAGAGGCACAGCGGTTGGGAAAGGCGTAGCGATTGGGGAAAGGTGAAACGACGGGGGTGAAAAACCCTCTCCCTTCCCCCATTCAATGCGGATGGGATGCGCCCTGACCGATGGGACGCACCCTGCCCGATGGAACGATGCCTAGTCAGACGGGACGTGGCCTGGGTATGGCCCACCACTACCGCACGCCGGGCATAAGAAACAAGGCGCCACTACGCACAGGCGGCCCTCCGCCTTCCCAGGCGGGACTTGGAAAGGCCCAAACAATGGGATCTCCGCCAGGAGAGACCAATGGGCTTCCTGACTCGATCAGATGGCTCAGGCGAACGTCGATAGACAGGTAAGGAGCAAAGGGACGCCCCATGTGGGCCACGCTGACTCCGTCATGAACGACGAGCGCGGATCCCGGTCGGACATATCCGATAGGAGCTCCTTAAAACCCCGTCACTCGAGTCATCAAGGTAACATTACCAACCCCCACTATTTCTTTATATAAACATTCATTCATCCATGCACGCATTCATTCATTCCATATAGCATTGCATATGCAGTTAAATGCATCACAACGCTCCGTGTTGCGTCACGAAGCGGCAGTTGCCTCATTCAAACATGAGCAACAACCGACCGGGGTTCGAAGGCCGGCCCACAGAGAGCTCGAGGCCACCTTGTGTCAAACAGAGCCAGGGGAGAAAACGCAGATGAGCCCCGAGCGGCCCTCGCCCAGTTTGCCCCGAAGCAGACAGGGTCATCTCAACTTTCTCGTTCGATCCTAACCTCCCACCAAACCCACAGAATCTCCATCGATGGGAGGCCATCGGGCCACCCGGGTCGGTCTCTGGAATGACCCAAGCATCTGCCGGGTTGCAGGTTAAGGAGCAGTGGAGTGCCACATGAGGGCTATGTCGACCCCATCATGAACGATGGACCCGGACTTCACTCGAACGTGCCCGTTAGCGAGCTCACCGAGCGCGTCACTCGAGCCATCGAGGCAAGCGACGTTAGCTCAGCCCCTCCGGTTGTGAGAAACCGCGGATGGGGTAACGCACAAAACTCAACCGACCCCTACCTAAGCCCAACGGGGCTCAGGGGCTCAAGACACCCAACGCCTCGGCTACGCCTGGGTCCGCGACTCCGACTCGCCTTATCCCTCGGCGCGCCCGACACCTGGATCCGCGACTTTGACTCGCCTGATCCCTCGGCACGCCCGACGCCTGGATCCGCGACTTCGATTCGCCCGATCCCTCGGCGCGCCCGACGCCTGGATCCACGAGTTCGTCTCGTCCGATCCCTTGGCACGCCCGACGCCTTGGTTCAGCGACTCCGACTCGCCTGATCCCTGGATCCGTGACTCTGATTCGCCCGAACCCTTGACACGCCCGACGCCCCGGCAGACGAAACTCCGTCTCACCCAGTCCCTCGCGCCGCGACCAAGCACCTGGGACCACGCTCCTGGAAACAATGGGCCAGAAACTAGAAAATGGAGGCTACGCCCACCAAAGTGCACACACTCACGCCCACTGGCAAAACCCCCTAGGCGATTCTGCCTGAATCGCCCGGGGGCTCGGGGGCTATACCCGCGGGTGCGCTCGCGCGTACCCGTTGACGAAACAAAACTTCCTCCGCTGGCAACACAAAGAACCCCACAGACGATTCTACCCGAATTGCCCGGGGGCTACACCCGCGAGTTCGCTTGCGCGCACCTGCCGTCAAGACAAAAATCCCCCAGACGATTCTACCCGAATCGCCCGGGGGTTCAGGGGCTCCTGTCGGGTTCATAAACCCAGGGTACCTCGTAGACCGGCTTCCCATCAAAGGTTCGGCCTGGCAGACAACATTGCGGACGACGCGCAACTCCTGGGCCGGCCCAAACACCTAAAACGATAGGCTAGAAGGGCGATCCAATCTCCGACTAGAAGGCCTCGCTAAAGAGGAACAACGCTCGCTTCCGACTCTGGCCCGCCTCTCCGACCAGAAGGCCTGACCAAACACCGCTTCCGACTCCGACCCGGGTCTCCGACCGGGGATACACCGAACCTCTACTTACCGCTCTTCTCCGACTGGCACAGTCAGAGCCAACTGGGGCCAACCGACTGGGGACGCCCGCTCGGTGAGGACCAGGAAACAAGCGGAGCAAGGCAGGACGCTCAAAGTCAACAGCAATACCGAGGACCGTACCCTGCGCACCTACAAGACAGTACTAACAAGACATGTCAGAATAGTGCCCTGTAACCTTCCAGGCGTATTAGAACCCAAGCAGTGTTGTATGCGCTGACATTTGCCCTACAGTGTTGTGGGCGCCCACAAACTCCCATACCACACAAACACGGTAAAACCCCTTGCATGCCTCTGGGCATCAACAGTATAACAGACACCGACGTCTGCCATATCAGAAGAAGAAGACGCAACCTCCCACATGCATCTGACATTAACAGTGTTATGGGCGCCTACAATTATCTTGTACCCGACGGCGTGAGCAACAAGACTTAGCATACGTACACTCTCTCTCACTTGTAAGGCCATCCCCTTCATCTATAAAAGGGGATGCGCTCTCTCCCAACAGGAAGATCCCTCAATTCACTTACATCGATTCATTCGTTGTAGCTTTAGACACTCTAAAGCTACACAGAGCGCACGCTCGAACGCTTAGCACATAGCGGAGCTCCCGTCACTCTCGGCCCTTCAGACCAGAGTCCGATCGGACCTCTTATACCCACATCTTTCTCCCTTTCGTTTGTAACCCCACAGTAAACTTCGAGCACCTGGACTCAGGAATAAAGTCATCGACCGACTCAAACTGGACGTAAGGCACGTTGCCTGAACCAGTATAAACCCTGTGTTATTGAGTGCTAGGCCATATCCGATCACAACGTACAACAAAACTATAAATATTTACGTGTTGGTCACTTTCTGCATCGACACACATTATCACCGCAAACTAATATTGACATGACAATTTTCCTCTTTAAGGAAGAAAATGACTAACTAAATATATTCATCGTCCAGTGAAGAGAATACTAATCATAAAACATACTCCTGACAACAAAAGGGGGTCGGCCACGCAGGGCTTCAAAGAAGAATGTACTTGCATCACAACTCAGAGAAAATACCGGGCTACAACTTATACATCTGTAGTTCTGTACTCTCTAAGGCCAGGGGTCATCTAGATCAGGCTTCTTGACAAACAGCTGATTGTATTGAGGCCGTGACATCTGCAGCAAAATCCATCCAACAATAGGTGTAAGGCACGAATTCCAAAATACCAGATAAAACAATCTGCAAAACCATACTGCGTCCCTCCATATTGAGGTAACTAAATCACATAAGGACATGATTTCCTACTGGGCCATGCCAATGTAATAGCTAGGCCTCAAAATCAAACAATCTGGGTGGCCAAACCATGGAAACAAACATGAAGATTATATCTACATTCCAAATGCTGTCTTGTACTCAAAAATCATAATTCATATGCCAGAAAATCCTACCATGGACAAAAATACTAGCATTCTACCTATTCTGAAGAAATGCATCCTACCGGCCATTCAATCAACACTGAAATTTCCTGAGTTGTGTGAAGGAGTATTTGCATTCAGTAAACTATTATAGGTTCTTTTTTTGCGATGTAAGCTATTATAGGTTCTATGATGTTGGCTGATTTCTTAATAATCACTTCAAGGTAATAGCTAGGTCTCCGAATCAAATTATGTGGATGACCGCATCACATAAATGCATATGAAGTCAAAACTAGTGGTTTCTGCAAAACCTCAAACAATTCATAGACTCAGGTGGACCCGCGTGTCATTACACTCAGTCTCAGTCATAATCAGGGTGCAAACGTTTTCAGTGGCAAGTTTCCAATTGTATCGTATATTAGACATAGTAGAAAGACCTAATGTTGATGAAAACACCACCACTGTAGCCAATTATTATCTACACTAGAGGAAATCCTAATCTCTCTAGATGAAAAGCATCTTCATTCATTCATTGCATAGCTTCTATGATTTCTGCTGAGTCTCAACAATCAAGGCCACATGTTACAAAACTGAACAAACGCGCCATGCGTACTCGATCCTATCCCAATCCCCGCGAAGCCGAAACGCTCAGGGGAGAGAAACGCGAGGTTGGTGTGGGTGCTTACAAGGTCCTTGAAGAGGAAGAAGGCGATGAGGAAGAAGAGGACGAAGAAGATCTCGAACTCGGCGAGGCGGACGAAGCGGAACACCCTGTCGACGGCCCTAGTGAGGAGCCCCGGGTCGTCCCCCCTCCTCCCGGCCCCGACCCGCTGCTGCCGCATCTCTCCCGATCGATCGGTCGATCAGCCGCGGATTCCTCCTCTGCTACCACCGAATCCGAGACGGATCGGCTTGACCGGATCTGCAGCCGTCCGGCGAGAGGGAGTGGGGGGCGGAGGTACCGGATCTCCGGCCGTTCAACGGCGTGGGCTGTGCCTGAGGGAAGGCCCCGATCGCCAATCGGTCGATCCCTTGTTGGATGCGCGTTGCCGCGGCGATGGAGAGGTGGAGCAGGGCTGCTGGGGGGCGGCACGACGAGAGAACGGAACCGGGGGCTTCGGCGTCTGGAACCAGCAAACAGCAATCGAGGAGTGAGTGAAGGCCAGGAGGTGGTGTGGCCCTGAGCAAATTGAGCCCGGCAATGGGTCCAGCCCGAGCCCAACGGGTTTTGGCCTGTCTACAAAACTTAGTGGACAGGGTCTGGACATAGATCCCGCTGTCGAGAAAAAACAATTTTCAGCCCAAACTCAACCTAAAATATTTATTTTAGCTATTTTACATTGTATAAATCGGACGGCCACCTAAGTCTACGTACAACCTGAGACTCGTCCAAATGGACGGCCATTGGTGGAACTTTTCGGCCGAAATAGCTGGACCTTTTTTTGGCCCGGGCGTGTGTGCCCGGGCGGAGGTCTATGCTGTCGTCGAGATATGCGTCAATATTCGTGTTGTTTGAGCCACGTGGAGGTGAGAGAATAAGGATGTGTTTTACAATGAGAAACGTTAGTGTCGAACTTCACAAAAGAGAAGAGTGTTTTAGAGAAGCACTTGGAACTGATTCTCTTATATTTTTTACTAGTCCAGAGAAACCCCTAAAATTTAGTTTCTTCTCACTTAAGAATCTAGCAAGCGAGCTAAACGATTCCACGAAATGATTCTAATTTATTTTAGAAATATTTCTTAAGAGAATTTTGATCTAAAATGGTTTTAAGAAACTAAAAAACTGGCAAATGCACCGGACTGTAAGAAAAGTGCATCTCCATTTGGAAAGAAGGAAAATGTAACAGAACCGACCAATTATACGAAATTAAGTAAGAAAATCATCCACCAGAGCAGACGATTGAGCAAACTTAAGTCCGTATAACCCGGTAGTCCGTGAAATCACGAAGGATTTCAAACCAACTCGTGTCCCAGCCATGATCGTAATAAGTTTAGCGGTCACCAATCACATATTACATAAAAGTTTCCATAACGTATACATCGAGTTTAAACATAGTTATTACAAAACAAGTTCGATTAAAAGTAGCGGAAGTCATTTGTTTAAAACCACACACACACTCACACGCGAGTTTAAATATAGTGCCAAATGAATGATCATTTCCAACAAAAGCATTAGATGAGGCGTAAGGAATGACCATGCCCATGGTCCTAAGCATCACCCATCGCAGGATAGAGGCGCTTGATACAATAGCCGTAGTACATCCGCCCATCTCGCAACAAGTGGGAATAAAACCACGAGTACGAGAAGGTAGGTACTCGGCCGGACTTACCGATATAACCGAAAATAAATGACACCAAGGATTATGCGGGCATAATAGTAGGGTAGTGACTCATTTGCAAAAGAAGCATTTTTAGCATTTCAAGAACCTTTCTAAAAGCATTATTGTCAAGTTAATTATTATTAACTCATCGACTAGATTTGCACCTATACTAGAGTAAACATGTGATTAAGCAATTAATGATAACCACTAATCATTAAACAACTTCCATACTTGTCATATTCACTATAAGCGTCCAAGTGTTCCATAAACATTTACTACGATGAAGTCACTCAAGTCAAGTGCTCACTATCCGGGCGATGGCGATTCGAATCGATTCCTAACCACCGGGTGATTTATTCCTTACACAAATCTCACTCACCCGCTAAAGTGAGATATTGATCACCGAGTCAACTTTCCGTATCTCGAGTTTGCGAGAACCACATGTACCGGGGCCGACCGATCGCACTTTGGTCTTATCATCCCGCCCGTGTCCTACCACACACCTGCTTCGCAGGTCTTGGCTGCAGGGCAATCTACTCGGCCCGAAAAATCTCCCGGCTTCAGCGGTCGGAAGGTACTTTATCCGGCCAATTAAATGTAAGGCATGCGTTCAACATGACTCGAGGCCCAACAACGGTCGGTCCTTAATCGACACGACGGAAACACTACGGTCCAAAACCACGCAAGTCTCCGCCTTGGTCTCAACTTCATTTAACACTTAGTTATACCATGACTTCATAGCCATCCAAACAGATCCGGTAACCACCTATAGCTCGCGGTGACGAAAATCACCCGACTTCTATCGGTCTAAGACAAATAAGCATTGACTTCATTGCGGATACCGTGGTAACAAGGATATAGTATAACAAAGGTAAACAAGGTATAATGCAAAGAAGCGGTTGCAAACAACTCCTGAACGTAATGCATCAATTTCAAGTAAAGCATTTAACGAAATCATTGCAAACCGGGAGAAAGATGCTCCGGGGCTTGCCTCTCTCGAAGGAGCTCGGACGGTGATCGGGGCACTCCGGAAGTTCCTCAACGTCCTCCTCGTCGGCTTCGGCACTTCTGGGCACACTCGAATCGCTCCTCGGGCTCCTCGGGTATGACGACCGGGTTCTCGGTTTGCGATCCTGTATGATGCAATGCGTGTAAGTGCCTATGCAATCGGTGCATCGAAAGAGATGAATGCAATGGATATGTTGAAAGGCAAGGTAGTCAACATCATCCAAGAAACTATGCTACAAGCACATGTCATCTACTGCATTCTCTTCTACGACCAATATGTTAAGTCAACATATTTTATTAAATGCTTCAAAGATACACCAAAGCTTTACTAATTTCTTAATCACACTTAAGGCAACACTTGCTTAAACCCTAATTAATAATAGGTTTGAATAGCAACCTATATTTCTGATGCTCCTAAAAATCTGAGAAAATTACAGTAGCATAATACTACCCTAAACAGACTACCATAAAAATTTCATGGCATTTGGATAAGTAAACTATCCTACACAAAAATGACAAGCTATAGCCTAAAAATGAGCATGAAATTACTTTGTACTATGAAAAGTGTCAAACAACAGAATTAATATTTTTCCTAGGTTCTTCATGGTATATAATGACTGTACAAAAATTGTCACATGCATGTTTTATACAAAATTTGTGCTCTAGCAAAAATAACAAAAATCAGCCATTAAAGGTACTTGAACTACACCTCAAATTTTTCCCACAGCACATGCATGAAACATATTTTTCCTAGGAAGTACATGACATAAGAAGATTAACAAACTTGGAATCATATTTTTCTGAAGCCTATATATTTTTCTACATATTTTTCAAGTTATCAGCAATATTCAAGATTAAATAAAATCCTATAGAAAAGTATCTCAAAAATGACATGCACAATTTTTCCCAAGTAGATCTGATGATAAGGAACCTAGCAAAATTTGTTTCAACAAATTTGGAGCAAGTTTGAGTATCCAAACATTTTGCAAACCATTTCAGTTTTCAAATAATAAAGAATAAATGGAAAACAATTCTTTAAAACTCTCTTCGGGCGGCCCATTGAAACGAACTGGCCCACTCATCATGCGCACACCCATGGCCCGAGCAGGCGCAGCCCCAGCCTGGCTCTCCTTGGCTCGGCGACTGACATGCGGGACCCCCATGTCATTGACACGGAACAGGGGAGACGGCACACATCGGCGCGGCGATGGCCGAGCTCGCCGACGGTGATCTCCCCGACGAAACCGACGGCACCGGCGTGCACAACAGGTTGTCCCGCACCGATGGAAGTAGAAAATGGACCCCCTAGATACAGCAAAGGAGGTCGCCGGCGATAATGGCGATCACAGCGGCGCTGCGCGAGGTACGCCGGCCAACTCCGGCTAGGAAGGGGCGCGAAAAATGGAGCGGGAGCTTCACTGAGCTCGTCGTGTCGTGTGTCATGTGTGAAAACAAATTGGAAGAAAAAGGCGGAGGCGAGGTCCACGGAGCGGAGCGCTCGGTGAGCTCGGCCACAACTCCGCGAGAGATTCCCGTGGAGAGGGAGCTCTCGCTGCTTCGAGGCGAGCACGAGGTGCGCGAAGATGAGTCGAGATCTGCGGGCGAGATGGAGGCTCAATGGCAAGCTAGGGCGGCCAAGCGAGCTTGCTCGGCGAGGCGCAGTGCTGTGGCTATGCTATAATGGTAGCAGTGAGAGAGAGAGAGAGGCAGGCAGAGAGAGAGAAATGCGGAGCGCTGGAATGCGTGGTGCGCAGGGTGCTCAAGACTCGGCCAGCAGACATCAGAAGCCCGTGGCGCATGGCCACATGTGATCGGGGAGCTCGGCGACGGGTGGCGCCACGCGGCGATCGGCTTCTGCGTCGCGTCAGTAGCGCAGCGCCTTGAAAGGCGGCGAAGCGAAGCGTGAGTGGGCTGGGCACTGGGTGGCGAGGCGGTCTTGGCCAAAGCGACGAAGCGCAGCAGAGCCAGTAGCGGTCTTGAGGGCTGGGCTGCCATTGAAGGGCTGAAGCGAGGCGCAAAGGCCCACGAGGGTAAAACCAGATTTTTCAAATTAATTTGAATCCTTTTTCATTCAAACGAATTTTTGGACTAAATTAAAGCAGTTTCAAACTTTGGACCAAAAATGAAAGTTGCTCAAAATTTTATCCTCTACAACTTTGATTACATGACCAAAGTCCAATTTCTTATAGATTTTGAATTAAAAAAAAATCAAAGTCAAATTTTAACTCAAAACCCTAATTTTGGGGAATTATTTTTAAAGCAAAATTTGGCAATAATTCAAATACAAACCTTGCTCCAAAAATTGTGCTAAACAATTCTAGATGATTTACAATCATAACCAAACAGTTTCTACTAAACTAGCAAGCAAAATCGAGGCAAAACAACTATAATAAGTGTATGTACCATTTACGTTTCACAAACATGTTTCGTATGTTTCGAAGTAATGCGTCAGTTGTTATATGCAAGATTATGCATGTATGATTTGGATACTTGATGATGCATGATATGCGTGA